TACCCCAGGGGGTCATGATTTTAACAATTTAGAATGTACGCTACCCCAGGATACCTCCATATAAATTTCAGCTTTCTTGGCCCAGTGGTTCTTGAGTAGAAGATTTTTTAATGATCCCAACCTATTTTTGTCTGTTATTGATTTTCTCCAATTGGAAGGGGACCTGGGCCTTTATTTTAACAATTTAAACACTCCATCACCCAAGGATGCTTTGTATCAAGTTTGGTTAAAATTGGCCAAAGTGGTTCTTGAGAAGAAATTGAAAATGTGACAAGTTTACAGACGGATGGACGGACGGACTACGGACAAAATGTGATCAGAAAAGCTCACTTGAGCCTTCGGCTCAGGTGAGCTAAAAAGGTTCTTCTCATATACGAGGGTTGTCCCAAAAAGTCGTAGACAATGTTTATAATTTTTTTAAACATGCAACCAATACTTACCAAATTTTGCACAGACATAATATAGTCAATATTCTTTAAAATTGTGAATTTTTTAAAGACTTATCTTTCATATTAATAATATTAAGACGATTTATTGAAGGCTGATAAGGCCTGTCGGCGCACGGACAAAATTCGGAATAATTTACGCATATAACTATTGCATTTGCTCTTTTGTACTATGTATTGAATCACGTTATGTCCGCCGTCACAAAATGTCCGCCTCTTTTTCGGAAAAATCGTCACACTATGTCCGCCGTCACGAAATGTCCGCCTCTTTTTCTGAAAAATCGTCACACGATGTCTGCCGCTACAAAATATCCGCCTTTCTTCCAAACAAATCGTAATATTATATTCCCCGATACAAAATCCCTGCATCCCTTCTAAAACAAATCGTTATATTGTCCGCCGACAAGAAAAGTCCGCCTTCTTCGGAAAAAAATTGTCAAATTACGTCCCCCGCCAAGAAATGTCTGTCTATTCTGGGTAAACTTGTCACTGATCACATAATGATATACATTGAACACAAATTTAAATCACTGAAACGAGAATCAAAATCATAATAGCATGTCAAATTTTCATATATATAGCATTAGAAACAGATGATTGGTGTCATGATTTTCAAAGTGTTATTGGAATCGAGTTGGATGAAAATGACGTCGTCAAACGCGTAACCAGCGCACGGAAATGTAATAAATTGTTATGTATATGGTTTATATACATCAGAGGCGGGAAAAAGAGTACAAAAATGACATTACACACAAGTTTGTTATAAAGAAGTTATTTTTAAATTGCACGATATTCAATAAAAGTTTTTCTTCTGTACGGAAAAAAGTTAATGACGGCATACAAGAAGTAGAGCATTGTTTGATAAACGCAAACAATAGGGAACAATCTAGACCGCGAACGACGTCAAACAATTTGTATTCTCTGCTGCCTACAATGTAAGGCGATCTTTCAACTAAATTTTGACTGAAATTCAATTTTTTTACATAAAAAAACAAAGTTTAAAACAAACGGACAGGAGTGAATTCAAATATGTCCTTTAATAAGGAGTGGTATATCACTTAAAAGAAATTATTGAATGTTAATACCCGCGAGTGAAGCAGACGAGGAGAGCATGACGTTTTAAGAGACATAATTTACGCTTGCTTTCGTGCGCTGGTGTACCCTTATATTCTTTCTTTAATTTTTTCATAATTTTCTTATAAGATGTGATATCATCATGAAACTTAAAAGTGTATGATCATAAAATGGTACTTTTTGCTATGACAAGGAAAGAAATTTCATAATGCAAAGAGAAACAAAACTGTTTCTCTGTCTACGACTTTTTGGGACAACCCTCGTAGATATTGCCTTTAAAGTAAATTTAATTAGAAAAATAAGTATTTTCATTATTTAGTCTAAATAATATTTTTGTCTTAATGATTTCAGAAGGAAAGAGGGGTAAGTTGTTTTACAGATCAAAAACTTGTACCTTATTCTGTTTCAGAAGTTTTTTCTTAGTTCGTCAATTTTTTTTCCTTTTTTTACTGTGTATATATACGACAAAATAACCCCCTAGTTTTTCTTAGGGAAGAATGTCACACCAATATTTTATTTCATACGTCTTTAAGACATCCCTATGGAGGTATGGTTTCGAGGTGTGGTTTCAGCATTAAAAGGTGTTGATGAATTTTGATTACGAGGGTTGTTCAAAACGTCCGTTGACTGTTGTCATATCTTTTTTTTATTTAAAGTTATATGATAAAAAAATTTTAAAGCAGTAATTTTAAGGAGGGGCATGAATGGGGTTGGGTGTTTACTTCGTATATAATGATTATATAACTATGGACATGCAGAAACATTTCATTTTATGGTTGGAGAGAATTTTGTTTTTGCTGGTCTACAATGCACATGAATTGTATGGAACAATATGGAGTCATTATTGTCAATAAACCCTATTCGCACCATATATCTGCCAGTACAAATGAATACTCTTTTCTAGATTTATTGCTCTTGTCTATCAAAATGCAAAAGTACACTAGTCAATAAACGCAGCACCTATAATGTGAATATTTATCTCATTTTAAATACATGTATCTAATTAAATCGATATACATGTATTATAAATTCGATTTATTGTATTCTGCATAAAATCCATAAATCTATTTTTTTCCTTTCATTTCATTTTCTGTTCCTCTGTCACTACTTTATAGAAAATTGTACTTCATCTGACTGACTAAAAAATCTGTTATTACATTTTTCGGTTGTGTCTTTTGCTTAATCTCGACGCAAAATGTAACAATGTAATGTGTAAAAATCCTCCAAAGTGTGTTTATACATTTTGCGTTGATTTCGACGCAAATATAATAATCCGGGTTTATTACATTTTGCGTTGTTATTACATTTCGCCGTGTAACTGCGTTGTAGCGGCGGGTTTAAATTATGTCACATAGCTTTTCACTTTAAAGGTCAGACGAAACGTTGCTCAAAAATAGATAATTTTACTACAAATTTGTCATTGACGTAAAGGTACTTAAACAAGTTTCCTCACAAAAAATAAGGGTATCTTACCATGCATTTGGACAGGATACCACATGGTCATATTTCTTAAATAACCCTTTTAGGTAATCTGTTGAATGGCCTCTATCACAATGTTGGGTGTACTTGTATCTAAAACATTTTGAAAACAATGTAGAAATCAAAAGAGAATGACAAATATGGATAATGTTTTATATAATACCAAGAGAAAGAGGACATACATTTTAGGAACGTGTCTTCTGACCTTAAATATGTTCTCGTCATTTAAACGTTTTCTTAAATGATTGTACATTTAATAAGCAAATGAATATATTTATTATTTTATTTTTAATTTCATGTTTGCCTCATTATTATTTCAGAGAGTAAGAAAGGTAAGTTTATTTTACAATACAAAATTGACCCTTTTATGCCCCGTAAATAATGTTTCCGGGGTACATATATATAGCTTTTGTTGAGTCCGTCAATCTATCTAGCTTTCTCTCTGTCTGTCTGTCTGTTTGTTTGTCTGCAAAAACTTTAAAATTGCCCATAACTTTTGATTTAGAGGAGACATGACTTTAATATTTCACATTTTTATTCCTTTTATTCCTGGCAAAACCTTTCTTTGGGTCTCAGCAAATTTTACCGTATATTTTTGTCATGACTGTCTGTCTTTCTAGGTATCTCTCTGCCTGTCTCTATGTTTGTCTGTTTGTCCAAATAACTATGACCTTGTCCATACCTTTTGATCTGAGTACCACCAAATTTGATCTTTTGACCTTGACCTTGGAGTTTTACCCACATTTACATAAAAATTCAAAACTTTTACTTTGGCCATAAATTTTGAACAGTAGATACCAAGACATATATATATTTCACATGTGTATTTTTTTCTTTAGGAAAGACCTTTTATTGGATACTTTGACTTTGACCTTTTGACCTTGACCTTGAAGATGTCTGTACTTATGAAAATCCTTAACCTTGGCCATAACTGTTGAACGTTAAGGGATAGGGCTTTCCTACTTTATGTATGTATTCCTTTTAAAAAGACTATTCATTGGAAACCAAGAACTTTGAGCCTTTGACACTGACCTTGGAGTTTGACGTAGTTTTAAAAAGCAATCTGAAGTCCATGACTTTAAAAGGGTAAGGGCTAGTGCTTTCATGCTTTGCATATTTAATTCTTGTAACAAGGCCCTTCATTTGATAGCAAGACTTTTGGCCCTTTGATCATTGAAGTTTGACCTTCTTTTTAAAATTTTTGTTTTTGGCTATAACTTCTGAACGTTTAGGGATAGGGCTTTCATACTTTATAAATGTATTAACTACGACAGAAAGACGAACATGTAACTTCTAGCTACCCTTATTGTTGTCACACACCTTTTGTATTTCACTTGATCAACACTTACACATGTACAGGAACATGTGTGTATGTATGACCTATCATATAGATGTGTGTCTATATAATGTACATGTACATGTAACTAAGAAGGGCATGGGGTGGGACCTTACCTGTATCAGTATGTACATCTGCCACAGCTACCACAGCTCTGTCAACATCTGTCCAGTCCAGTCAACAATTGTCAAATACAATAAAGCATGCAGTACAGTGCAAAGTTGTTAGTATAAGAGCAGTTTTGAAAGGATTTCAATATGAAACTATATCAGTTATCAGTACAATAGGACAGGGCTCAAATAATTTGCTTTAAATATACTTGTTCCTAATACAAGTCTATATACAACAGATAATACAAATAATCTATCTATATACTGGTTAGATAAACAAGTGTTGTATGATAGATTGTCTTACCATCCACTGGTAGAATAAATCACCACAGAGTCAAGTTTATGCACACGGAAGTCACAATATAAACCGAAGTCACAGTTCACAATGTTCATCACTGACGGTATATACGGTAAAGTCATCTAGCATGAAATTGTCGCTGTTCACTATAGCTCTCACAAGGAGGAAGGTAGATGAAAACCATCATTCGTCAGCTTCTTGTGTAGGCATCGTCCATCATCAACAATCCCGTTGGGCGCCAAATGTAATAGTGGTCCTTAACGAGGCCCGATCTAGTTGAACTGCGCATACGTTTTAACGCAGCGTCGACTCAGGCACGTCACAGTACCTTTGACTGCCGTCACAATTGATTACAATAACGTCACAATTAAAATGACGTCAAATTGCGCTAAAATGTTTCGCTGATCTTGCATACCTGGTAACTCTATAGACTGTACATGTTGAAAGCTGGTATTTCTATTATTTACATGTTTTGTTTTGTTTTTTTTTTAATTTTTAAGTGATAAACAACTTTGGAACATGATTTATTTTGAGGTATCAATTTCTTGGTACATATTCATTAATTTTACCTTGTTTTATTCAATTTGTGAGTTAAAAAAACAAACACGGCCAACCAAAAGTAAACGATTTTAGTCTTTCTCCTTGAGCATGTTGAAGTCTTTATACACACCTTTTTATTGAGGACTTAAATATGCATGAATTAGCTTGATTTAAAAAAAATCAGTCTATGAATCATTTCAATGCAAACCCCGATATATTTTATTTTTCTATATATTACATGGTATTAGTAAAATTCGTATTTGTCGCCTTTACCCCCCCCCCCCCCTTTTTTTTTTCCACGTATAAAAACGTCGCGTATAAAGAAAAAAAAGAAAGCATGAAGAGAAAATTATTTCAAAATGTAAGAATTATTTATTTTTTAGAAACTAATACAGTATTGCAATCGTTTGTTGATGTTATGTACACCCATGGTGACTTATTTCATGTCTAGATGGATAAAATAAGTGCTAATTTTGTGTTTTGATATGCCCCCTTGTCACTGCAATAAAGGCTACCTTCAATTCTCTTTTCATTTTTTATAAGAAGAATGAAAATTGCATGATATATGTGAAAAACAAAACATTTCATCATGTATTTTTTTTTAATTTTCAATTTCTTTATTTATTGGAGGGTTTTACTATGTAATTGTGTATAAAAACACAAAAAATGGCCCATATCTTGACAGAGCCCCCATTTGACTACAATAAAGGCAAGGTAATAAAATTTCATTTTAATTTTTCTTAGCATAATAAATACAAAAATATTTCCAAAAATCAAAATTTTTTATCATTCCCTTTTCGTAATTTTCAACTAGATCGGGCCTCGTTAACTCATAAAGAATAAGTCGCCACTTGTGGGTTCATCGTTTATTATTTACTTCAAGTAAATCAATAAACGTGCAAGGGAATAACTATTGCACTATCTTCATAAAGTTCAAATCACTTTACAAGTTATTCCCCTTGAGTGCATAAAATATAAAAACATTAAGAGGCAGCCCACTGAAAATCAGGCAATGGGTGGCACATCGCATGTCATGGATTTTTATTATTTTTTGCATATAGACTTATTAAAGCAAGTGTTTACAGATGACAACATCAAAAAAAAATTTTAGTGCTCCGCTAATCCTATTTTTGGTAAGTGCTCAATTTTAAGTGCAAAAAGGTCAACATGGGGGTAAAAAAATTACTACGTTTTTATTTTGTTTTGTATGAACCAGATACGCAAAACCTGGGTCCATATTATTTATACCATAGACTCTTATCTTTAATTTTAGTAATGAATAAGACTCCAATTTGTATTTCTTTAGAAAAAATATGTGGTCCAAAATTTAGTTTTGCAAGTACTTTTTGAATTCTTTATCCAATGGTCATTACGTTATAAAACCCAATACATTTCAATGACAGATTTTCTTTCTCATGTTATTATGAATACTAAGTACAAACTTTTGAGTCACTCAATAAAATCAGTGGGCACCCGTATTTTGAGAGAAATATAAGGGGTCAAATTTACCTATGTTTTACAATTTTTCACAATTAAACCGATCCCGACCGGAATTATATAAAAATGGAAATACTATAATTGTTAAGTTGAATTTCGCTCTTTTGCTGTAATATGGCCAAAAAATTACTTGATTTATTATTTTACATGTTTTATGGGTGGCAGTTGTCTTTCGTTTTATAGCTTTACACATTTTGCATATTTTTCAATCGGGATCGGTTTTATTTTAATCGGGATCGTTTTTTAACGTAAAACTAGAAATATTCGTAAATTTGGTTCTACATTTAATGTATCAGATAAAAAAAATATGCTTGTCTTTTATTTCTGTTCAGTTATTCAACTGTTTTAAAATTATTTTATCCATGGATTCAAATGTTTATACAATGTATTTAAAATACTTATGCCTTTTACGTACATAAAGATTACAATCATGTATAACATCTGTTCGATTTCTTGATACTCGGTATTAAAAAAACAAGTATTTAAACATGCATTATGCAACAACTGAGAGGAAACAGCTTATTTTTTTTTTAAATATCTTATTTCCAACTAAAGTTTTTTTTTTAATTCTCTCGTGAATTAAAGAGTTAAATTCTATCATTGGCGAAAATATACTTGCACGTACCTAAATGAAGAAAATATTTTAATGTGCACAGTGTCAGCTTTATCCAAGTTTTTTAAATCTGTCATCTTTAAAAGCTGTTTCCCCTATATTTTTATCTTATAAAATTTAATTTTATATTAATAAGAAAATAAGTTATTTCATATATAGCCGGGGGGTGGGTGTGTGTGTGTGGGGGGGGGGGGGGGCAAAGCGTCATCTTAAAAAAAAACTTTCATTAATGGGAAATCATTTTAGAATTGGCCAACATGGTCACGTGTTTTAACTTTATATTGATGGTGAGTATGTGAATGTTTCAATCACCAAATTTAACCAAGAAAACAAAAAAAAAAACAAAAAAAAAAACAAAAAACAAAAAAAAAAACGAATAAACAAAAAAAAAACAACAACAAATAAACAAAAACCGTACTAAAAAAATACGTCTATGAAATCTTCCGTTTTAGTGGCAAATTGAAGTGGGGAGTTCAACAGTAATTTTCCTCAATAAATGTTTTTTAAATCTTATTTTTCACTTTTTAAATAAAATATTTTGAATCGTACCGCGGATCGTTTACTTTGGTTTGACTGCATAGATATATATAATCAAGTTTTCTTTTTCTTCACAAATATAATGAAATAAACATCTCAACTCCCACAGTTGACTTGAATTTTAATGTTGCGTAAATCTAAAATATTCATCTTTCCTTGATAATCAGAAGAAAATAAAATCTCTTCACATCGCAATTTTATAAGAAATTATTATTATAAACAATTAATTATTTTTACGCATAGCCTAGTAAATCAGTTTAAAAAATTAGTTCTCGGACATGTACAAAATTACGTACTTATCAAAAGGGACTTCTAGCTGAGATGTCGCCCGTGAATAAAATACATTTTATATAAAAATATATTATTATTTTTCATTATTTTACATGTTGAATAATGCACTCTGAAGAGTAATCAAACAGAAAAAGAGAAATTATTTACATGTATTTTTAATTGTTTTATTTGCGCTTTTATGCAAAGAATTTACAAACTTCTGTGGAAAACTTGTAACTATTTCATTGTGACGCAATATTAGTCAGGTATATGACGTCACTGATACATCAATGGAAACGTGGATTCAACATGAATAATACAGCCAATCTTAATCTAAATATTACGTTTGGAGACAAAAATGAATTCTATTTTGAAAATAAAGTAGTAATTTTTTGTTTAATTATTTAATTTTGAGTATATATTCACTAGGATTTCAATAGTAAGGTGTTTCATAAAAACGTTTATATATTTTGACAGAAAAACTACTATCGAAAGTGTTTTGCCCGCCAATTTTATTTTTGAAACTGAGACGAAATATTTCTAGATTTAGTTCAGCGTGAATTATAGTCCTGTTAAATATGTATTGGAAATTACACTTCGTTGTTTCTGACCTAAATTCAATGGTTTATATCGGGGAATTCAAGGACACGAAAAAAAAAGAATATTTTACTAAATAAGCAATTTTCAAACAAATCTTCGATTACATTATTCCATTTGGACTACATTGATATTGTTTTCAATAAAATTTCTAATATTCGTCACATTCGATGTGCCGCCTATTAATACAACCCTGCCTGGTTTTTCGGCTGACTGCCTCTTAATTCTGATAATGAACATTATGCATGTACAATATTTCTGAATAAATATATACATTCCAATGCAACTATTTCACGTTACATTCATCTATGGTAAAAACTAGGGATGTCAACGAGTACCCGGTAAACCGGGTACTCGATCGAACGTCCGAGTATCGAATGCTAAAATCGGTACTCGGTTACTCGGATGTATATTTTTGAATATTTCGTAGCTTATTTATTAATGCAGTAAACAATCTGTTTTGAAACGTTTCCTACACTCTAAATAACCATTATCGCCTTTGGCTGTGTTTATATAGTAATTATCGTGACCAAGCACCTGCTACCTGGCCTTCTCACCTTTGGCTGTCTTCTACCATTATTTTTGATTTGCGTTGTTTGTTTTCACTGAACATCGTTTAAGGTATAATTTTGTCAATTTTCCGAGAAGCCGGAAAAGAGACAGATGTTACACGTGCGATTGTTGATATGGTTTTGTTTGATTACACGCCAATACAAATGCTTGAAGGCAAAGGCTTTTAAAAACTGATGTCCATCGTTGCACTAAACTACAAAATACCGTCCCGAAATACTATCTATACTTATAAATTAATAAATTTTGCAAATAAACTCCTAAACGGGTGCAATTTAAAGCTTTATTCTGAATTTTAGATGTAATGTCAAACGTTCCATAGTGTTTTGAGTCTTGGCTATTTAGGAAAGATAACTCTTGAAAGTGGACGTTTTATACCAAATATTTTTTTATATTTGATTTTTCATTTCGTTTAAACTTTTTTCGTTCAATTTGACACATGTAATTCATTAAAATACATTCCTTGTCTCTTCAGAACACATTTTTAAAATGTTTTATGCATATATTAAAAAGATAATGACATTAATTGTTTTCTAGGAGAAAATTATTTTTTCTAATAAAATTATTATTAGGTATTATGAGGTATTTTCACTGTGTGTACTTGTCTTAAGAAGATGCCCATCATTTGGCACTGAAAGTTCAGAAATTCTGTGAATAATAAACCTGAAATAAAACATTTCACTAAAATAGAACAAAAACTAAAACATTCTATAAAAAATACTTATGATATCAATAACCCCATCTGGATATTTGTCATCTACATTATAAGTGGTGCTGTATTGAAATCTAAAATAAACTGTGGATGTAATGAGCCACCTTAATTAAAAGTCTACTTCAATTTTCTGAAAACAGCCATGAAATAGCATCAACGAGAGTATTGTGGCGTTTCCGGATGGCGGATCTAAGCTACTGACAAATTTTAATGAAACTGACAACAAACAATCTATTATTTATTTCATAAAATGTCATCACTGAATTATTCAATCAAAACTTGATTTAATTGATATAAAAGAAATAAGTTGTGGTAACCAATTAAAAAGCGAAAAGTGTAAATTATTTTCGTCAATCACCGATCTCAATATTGACGGGAGCTTCTAGAACATCACTTCCCTTTTGCTACATTGTTTTAATCAAGAAATAATTATAAATATTGTAATTAACGGGTTATTTGATTAAATAGTTTTACAACAAATGATGTTATATAATTTAGAATACAATAAAAACAATAGTTTTGTAAAAACGAGCAAAATATGCTAGGAATTTATCAGAAAAATATTGTTGCCGAGAAAACATTAATATTTATTGATACAAGGATAATATAAGTAGACAAATGGTACATGGCAACCAATCGTTAGATAGTTTGAGTATCCGATTTACAATCGTGACAATCCGACAGCTAGTTTTCAACATTTGATGACGACTGAAAGACTAATGAAAATAATTTAAACTAGTGCTAATTGTAACGGGAACCGTTACAGATGTTCCCCAAACGCTCCCCAACTCCCTTTTGGTACCATATTCCCTGTAAGTTTCATTAAATAAGACAAACTCTGTGCATTTTTGCTTTTAACAACGTTTTCCCAAAAAGAAACCAATTATATTCAAATTTTTGCATTGCA